AAGTTTTTATTAAAATATTTTTATTCTAAGAAGTTTGCAGACGATAAAAACATTGTTGTGAGGGAATGACGCGAAACGCTGGGGACAAAGTTTAAAATAGTGCTGTGGTAATATTTTTATCAGAAATTAAATTTAAAATTGATTTTCTGAATTCTATATTTCAATATTCTGAAATAAAAAACACGAATTTGTAAATTTATTTTTTTTACTTAAGAAAAAAAATTTTTCTTTTTTTAAATCAGGAGTGGGGACAAGTGAGGGAATGACATATTGGTATATTTTAATTACCTAAAATAAATAAAAAATAAAAATTGATAATTTTATTTTTATTCCTTAGTTAGCCTGCATTCTGAAAGACACTTTCCCTGAATTTTTTTTTATAATAAGTTGCAAAACAAACATAAATTATATTGGGGACATGAAAATGACTGTTTTTGTGAGAATGACCCATATATAAAAAAAATCCTATATTTCAGAAATAAATTAATGTAATCTTTTTTATATATTAAAAAGGATTTGAAATCAAAAACAAAGATAGCTACTAAATTCAAAAGCCATTGTTTGGCATTTATACAAGCATTAGAGAATAGAGTTATTAGATGCCAGAAATTTCATAAAAGACAGTGGCTAAAATTATTTACAAATTAGTTCATAAAAATTTAGATTATAGAAATGTTGCATTTAAGAAACCTATAACTATCAGAGTTTATCATGAAAAAAACTTATTGATAATATAAATTACTTATGATATGCATATTCAATTTTAAAAAGCATATTTTCTCATTTTATGATGGAAATATCTACTTACGAAATTGTCATTTATTATGCTGATATTCACTAATACTGAAACTGTAATTCTGGCAAATTTTCGTGTGTCTGTAAATGGCGATGCAGAACATACAATTGCAATACAGTTTATAGTTTCACAGCTCTAAATATAAGAAAGTTCAAATTAGAAAAATCTTGTTTACAATGCATCTCAATTTACTACTTATGTTTATTAACTAATCCACAGTAAATATGTGCACCTTTCACATAGTTCAACTCTATAACCTCATTCATTTCCAACTAGCAGAGAAGATAAAAACGTCTTGGCCAAGCTTTGGGACAAACTAAACTTGTCTTTATGGCAGACTTTTTGAATGAAACTTATCGAAATATGTATTACAGAAGGTACAATTGTCAGTGCAATAACGTTTCACGCAAAAATTCTTTTATGAAAAAAGAAAAAAAACAGTTTGTCTTGATACTTGATTTTAAAATTATTAAACAACTGAAGTAATTTACTTGAACTTCACGTGAAAAAGCTGTTTATCAACAGTGAAAAATCAAATAGATTTTTCTTAGAATAATCTTTGCCAAGAATCAAACATCTTTTTTCTTAAAACAGTTATACCATTATTCTCATCGCAAAAACTTGCATATAAACATGATTCTTAAAAAAGTTCTTTGGTCTTGAAAATATGAAAACACCAAATTTTGTCTCCATCAAAATTAGAAGCAGGAATACCAGAAGCAATTATGGGCTGAGGTAAGGGAGACAATAATAATGTAAAAAACAAAATAATATTTGGCAAAGGTGATTTCTAAAAATTCCTTTATAAAAACGCAATTCTTTTCTGGTTTTGTTTTCTGCAGAGAATTCAGAAGAAGTAGGTCTTTAAAATGCACAAACATCAAAACATCCTTTTTCAATAAAAAATAACAAGTTGCAAATCATATTTAAGTCAGGGAAAAAAACGTTTTTGAACACTGACCATTATTGAGGTCTGGAAAGCATTTTTCTTTGCCTAAATACCATCTATTTGCTTCATACTCAAATCAATGGGCTTTTGATTATTTTAATTTCTCCAGAGCTCATTATGATCTCAATATAATTGGTCAAAATTAGAAAATATTTTTGTTCTTTTTCATTTAAATATTAATTTACAATTCCTAATGTGTATAGTGTTTTTGGAAAGACTGTCAAAAATGTGATAACACCCTGTGTTATAACATTTTTGCAGGCTGAAAAAAGCTAGCTATAGGTTCATTTTAAGATGATTAAACAAAAAGCTTATATATTCTAATATAAAATAATTAAAACTGTACGGTTCCTTTCTACTTACAAGTACAATTTCACTTTTTCTTTGAGGAGTAGCTTTAGCGGCAGTACTCCTTTTTAAACGAGTTGAAGTTTTGTCAGTTGTTCCAAATTCGCTTAAGGCTTCGATCACTGTATCAGTTTTATTTTGTTCTTCTGGAACTAACAGGTTATCCTCATCAAAAATACCATCTCTGTTGTTTTTATTAATTTCAGGAGAAAGAGGCTTTATCACTATATTAGAGTCGTTACACTTAGCAGGTATGGTCAATGCTTTTCCATTATCTGCCTAAGAAATATACAATGAAAGATAAACAGAACATCGGAAATTTTTAAACAAAAAAATACAAGTGTTTGCATTGCTCATTAGGTGTAACAACAACATAAAAGATAATATATTTTCAAGATTTATTTCATTTTATTTTGTGAAACAAACTCAAACACAATAAATGTATGATATTAAAGATGCATGTCTTTAAACAAATAATAAACACTTTAGATCACTCAATTGTAAAACTTTAAAAATAATTAATATTATACGTAACAAAAAATTATATTATAACATGTATCTAGGCCTAAAATTATAGATGTATGGGGTCCAGGTACCCAGTAAAGTTTCAGTTTATTTCCCAGCTAGGTATTATTTTCATATTGTTTTGCATAACATTTAATTACTGGGAAATTAATTTTCAATGATGTTTCAACTAATAGTAGCATTTGAAGAATTAATGTGTCATTTGAAAGAAAATATTTGTTTTGTTCGTTGTCAATTAGACTTCGATAAAATACAAACCCAAATTATAAATATATATATTGTATTTTTGTGTGGTTAGATTTGAATTTAATTATTTTTATTGACTTTAAATATTAATGTAATTACTGATTTTAAATTTTGTATTGATTCAACTCTCATAATAATTTAAGTTAAAATAGTTTTCAGCAAAAGACTTATAAATCGACTTATCCTTTAATAAAGTAGATCTCTCTTTAGCAAACATATTTTTCTGTTCCTAAGGCATACTTTTACCAAGATTTCCCAGAATTAAAATTCTGCACTAGACTGAAATATGTTATTCATAAATATATGTTACCCAGCACTGTAACCTAGTACTGAGTCTTTAGACTAATAGCCAAATCTGGGTACTGAGTATTAAAAGAGCTGGCCATGTACTGGGTAATTGCGGGTACACAGTGCATCCCTTCCAAAAATATCACTGTTTCGAATATATGTAAAAATAGATCTATATTGATAAAAAACCTGAAACTGCCTAATAAATTTGAGGTCTGATTGTTCCACATATGGCAGTGGATTTGCCTATCATTTGAAATATTTAACATTGTAAAAAACAGCTAGATATGGGCTGTTTGTTTCTTAATTAGCAATAGTTATTCATTTCAATAAAAATATACAAAGTAAAGCATTCTCCCAAGAGAATATTTTTAACTAGAGGGGCTATGGAGGTCAAGGCTCAACTACTTCGTGACCAACATGATGGTGTTGATGTGGTCAGCATTGTGCCCAGGCCGACTTCATTTCCCAGACAAGATGGTGTTGATGTGGTCAGCATTGTGCCCAGGCCGACTTCATTTCCCAGACAAGATGGTGCACATGGATTTGAAGCTGGGTGAGCTTCCAGTCATCTATTGAAAACTAACACTAGTTCTTTACAACCACAGTTTAATGCCATAACCACTGAGTCAGAAATATGTTATTTTCAGAATTTCAACTGAATGTGATAATATGTTAAAAATGATACTCTTTTTTACCAATATTAATATTAACTTTGCTTTGTATAGTTTCAATGAATCAGCATTAGCCACAAACAAAAATATCTTTGTGGGGTAGTGGAAGCATACTTTAAGTAAATTTTTTCATACAAAAGTTAGCAACTTTAGTTTAAATTGCAATTATATTAGATTAAAAAGAAAAATTAAACATCTTAAAAACACCAATTTAGTAAGAGTTAACTACTATGTGCTAGTCAATTTTTTTTTTAAATAAATAAATGAATAACAGCGCAATATGCTGTTACAGTGGAAGTTGTTTATGGATTTGGAGATTATGATATTACATGTTTAAGAAAAAAATGGATATAGTTCTTCAATTATGAATCTTTCATTTTTCCAGAAAAAAGCATTTCTCAAGTCTTAAGAGAAGAATAGTGACTGGTAGAACTACCTGGACTGCATCTGAAAACACATTTAAAGTTGACATTTATTTATTTATTTATTTTTTTTTTTTTTGATAAAATAAAAAAAAGTAAAAAATATTTATCAAATAAACCAAATTGAATAACGGTTTCTTTCTCAGTACACTAAGTAACTCTATTATAAATTGGTATTTTAATTAATATATGTCAATATTTATTCTCTAATAAGGCTTAGATTGAAATAAATTTAATTTTGGATTTAGATATATCTTTCTGAGTTGTAATAAGTGACTACTTAACAAGTTATCAAGGTTGTCCATAGCAGGTACTAGGGTTAGTGTAGATCAAAACAACGTTTTTTTTTAAAAAAAGTTATTATGAATAAACTAAACTTTTTAAATCAAGATATAAGCCAGAGGCACAGTAAAACTTACAAAGTATTGTTAAAAAAATAATGAGATAAAAATTATATTTAATAAGTCATTTGTAGACATTTTTTTATGGAAATGTAAAAAATTTCTACACTAGTGAAGGTCTCCCCTAAATGTCATGAAAAAGCATACATAAATAAAAACTTTGAAAAAATATTTAGAATCACTTACTTCTAAGCTAGTAAATGTGACAAAAGTTTCTTCTCTATTTTCTTTATGAAATGAAGTAGGTACATATAAAATGAAATCCACTATTTGAACAGGACTTGGACCATGATTCATTATCTAATTAAATGAGGAATAATATTAAATAAAAAATAATAACAATAAAATATTGTAAAGTTTTTTTATTATAGTTCTCCAACATTCTATAAGAACACGTTACACTAATTTTAATAAAAATACTTTACCTACATAATTATTTTATACAATTTTCTTTTTTATTCCATGTTTTACAAATTCTTCATAACTAAGATGGGATAAAGTGGTTCTGTTGAAAAAATAGACCTAAAATGGTTATTATTTGTATTCAATTTTGTATGCATTTCATTTTCTATCAGCAGCAATTACAAATATAGGTTTGTTCCTGAAGGATTATCATTTGAAAGGCTGAATATAGCTGTATATCTAGAAAGTCAGAAGGGGCCAGCGTGGCCTTTCCTAGATTTTTTGATAATAAACTGATTAGACATCTAAAATATAAATATACAGTGAAAATTAAAGAATTAAAATATAATAAGGAACATGATCATCTAATATTTAATATGTTTTATTGTATTTTTAATGTATTTGGATAACAAAAGCAGCTAATTAAATGGAGCATAGTGACTTTTTTCGATATTTACATTATTAGTGTTTATATTATTGAGTTTCTACTCTATATACATAATAATTTAAAATGATAAAAATAATAAGCTAAATTACTCTTGTTTGAATATCGAAACTAAAAATTTATGACACTAATTTGATTCATTTTAATTTCTTACAGTTGTCAATGCATCTCACTTTTTTCTAGCACATTTGCCACTAACAGCTCTTTCTAAATCAGGGCATGCATTCCGGCATATGATTTACTTTACAAGTTGTTTTTACCCTAAATTTGGTTTTTGAGAGTGATCTCATTTTTTATTCAATTTGAATTTTTTTACTTCTAACCATTTTAAACTATATTGTGTAATTTAAACCTATTTACACTTACATACGATTTCATTCAATTTTTGAATGCATTGGTATATTATACACCATTTAAAAAATTTCTTGTATTTTAGTAAGATAAATTTGTTACATGAATCCTACCCTTTTTTTCTTTTGTCTAAAAAAATCATTGTTTGGTGCAGCGTGGGTTTTTTTTCTTGGACCTTGTGCCATTAAACCTTACATTCAGTTTTATTCAATTCAGGGTGATCTCATCTCTGTTTATTCTTTGTCTCACTGGCTTCTTTACCTTAGCCACATTTCTTGGTGACACAAATGGAGCACAGAGCTCTTTACATGAATGTAATATAAAATTTCTGTAATGAAGTTCTTTCTTTTTAGTCACCTCTTTATATAAAATTCATGAATTTATATCAGATATATATAAAATATTAAAAAATATGTGTACAGGTCAATGGCAAGTTTCTGTTTTAGTGTTATAACGACATATTATTTGATCAACAATGTTCACACTGTACATTATTTGATAATAATACATATTTTATAGTTTTTGATGTCTTTCTTTCATTGTCATCAAAATTCACAAAATTATGAGGTGAACTAAGCAATAATATATTTTCATTTTATAATAATATATTTCATTTGCTTGATAGACAGTTAATGTTATATCTTTATCTTTTCTGTACAAAATAAAAAAAAACCCTAATTTTGCTCTTATTTGCATTTCTCTTCAATCTCTTCTTAGGGTTCCAACCACAGTTGTTGACTGAGACTTTAATTTTTATAGTAGTAAAATGGCTATTGGTTGTCGCTTTTCAAAGTATATTGTCTTTAAAATGTTTTTTTCTTTTTTTGCATATTATGTAGGGCCTTTAATTTCCTTCCCAAGTTTTGGGATACACAATGACCTACTGATCCAGAAAATAAAATCACTTTCCACCTTGTTCTATCTGCAGAAATGTCCTCATTGGAGGTAGATTATTGCGAATAAAACATTCATGACGACTGTTGATGCTTGAAGCATCATCTGTGTATAAAATAAAAAAGCACACACTGTGTGTGTTCTGAAGCCACAAAGAGGTGTGTAAATATTTTGGCTATTAAAAATCAAATAAACCTGAAAGTTATTAATTTAGTCTAGTGATTCATTAAGAATAAATACTAACAAAATGAGCTATCGTCTGAACCTACAATGCTTTCGACTAATACCGTTACATATACTCTTGTTTCTTCCACGTCCACATTCTTGTCTACAATTTATAGACACTTGAGTCTGAGAGTTAATTTCAGAACATTCATTATCCAAATTATTATTTTTATTACATTCACTTTCATTTTGTAATTTATTTCAGACTTGATATTTTTTGCAGGAACATATTCTTTCTCACTATCTATGTCACTATATTGCTATCACCTAGATCAACTTTATGTGATAATTGTAAAATTCTATCATAATTTCGTCTAGAGTGAATCAGATCATCTGAATCTGCTCAAATGACTAAATAGAAACTCAGTACATAGAACCATACCAAAAAGTTATCTTTATACGACAAGATAAAATTTATTTCTTTTTGTTACTAACACTTTCAGCTAATACATGCTCGGCTGCATGTCACCACTTCAAAGGAGTGCGAGAAAGTTGACATTCAGGAATTCAAAACTGAATGTAAAAAGAGGAAGGTGAGGAGACAAAAAAAATTTTTAAAAACTTTTTGTACTTATTTTATACATACTATCTAATTTTTATTTAAAAAAAGTTTTAATGCCAATTTTTTTCACTATAGTTTTGGATAAATGTTCAAAATATTTTATCCAATAGTTATTTTATAATAAGCCTAAAAACAGGGGAATTTACCTATTTTATGATAATTTCACAATAAAACATCTTTCTAAAATACTTACAAAATATGTATGAGTAATTGTAAGAGGCAAAAATGATTCTTGAATTTTTTCATCATATGGGATCTGTTCATGGGTAGGAGTTCTGAAAGAAACATTTTGTATGGTTTTAAATATTTGCTTAATTATTCCATTATAGCAATAAATGGGATACTATACAATAATGAATAATACATTATCATGTTTATTCTAGATCTTTCATTTCATACTTCTTTCAAAATAAACTTTCAATCCTAAATCCTTTTTCAAGAATAATTATTAAGCTTAAAAAAAGTTTCATGATAGTATCAAAATAAATTTTACCAAGATTGTATTAAAATTTTAGTTCTGATGACTGTTGATATTCATTCTTATAACATCAGGTATTTTGCTTCATGGTAAGAATACAATGTTTTAAGATGGATCAGCACTGTTATATTTTCAAAATTTAAATTATAATTTGACAGAAAGCATAATTCATACACTTGTATGAATGAAATAAGGGTACAAAAACATTAAATGGACTTTCCTTAAAATAACGTTTTTCATACTCCCAAACGTTATAGCTCTTTCAATTCGGATTTGATTTATTTAAAATAAAATGAATAGGGTGAATGTAGCTAAGGTAGTTTAAAGGAATTAATACTTCAAGATAAGACTCAAAGTTATTGTCTTACTTTTACGATATTTACTAAATTTTTAAATCCGTAGCTCTGTAACTTCATTAATGAATGAAAAGTAAAAGAATAATATAAAATTTTTATTAGATTCTATTTTGCAGAATAATTTTTTTATGAGAAAATGACTTTACAAGAAACTTACATCACTATTTTTAATCACCCTATTACCTAATACTTCATCTTAGTTAACTATTCAAATAAAATAAAAATTTCTAAAATTTATGTTTAATAATTGTTTAGATTTAACAAGAAATATTAAACAGTTACATCATTGTCATATTAAGTAAAATTTAATGACTTTTTAAGAACATAAAGTTAATAAAAGAATAATTTTAAAAATTGTGAAATAATTTTAAAATACTTAAAAATATAAGCAAGGTTATATTATAATAAATTACGAATGAAAAAGCAATAAACAGATTTATGCCCTAGTTTATTTTAAGCAAGATATTTTAGTTTTTTAATTATACTCTTCTAACAAGATTATGAAAGTTTTGTACTTTCCTTGATGAGTAAATAATCTATACTAAATCATATAGAATATTCATGCTTTTTAAATAGTGTAACATATTTCCTCAACATTGATATAATTAAGAATTATATATATTGAATTGTTTATAAAAATTAAGTTAGGATTTAAGGAAACAATTGCTGGATGCAGCAATATAAGTGTCAGAAGATTTAGTATTAATGTTTTTTATATATAACTTACAGGCTAAAACAAAACTATTAACAGTGGCCTGCCTGTTTTTTAGTTTCTTGGGGAAACTGGTTTAGCTAAACCTACTAGCAAAATAACTCGAGCTGTCATGACAAGAAAATCTTGGCCGAAAAAGGGCTATCAACATATATATTTTCACAATAAGTCCAACATACAATTTTTTTATTTACTCCATTTTTATCAATATTTATCAGCCTGTATTACTCAGCCTAAATAAGACCCATATTTAATTATCTCAGCCAATTCAAGACAAGGACAGGGTGCATAGCAATATCTTTGAATCAAAAATAAGCACTTTTTAAAAACTTTTCAAGCACTTCACAAAAATTTTCAAGCACTCAAAAAATTCATATTCAATCAGTGATATCATTGAAAAACAAAAACTTTTTATAAACAGTTTTAGCGTTAAAAAAAAAACCCAAAAAAAAACAGACGTAAATCGAAACAATCAGTACTTTCCCACATCATCGAGTGAATTCAACTTGACCCTGAACTCAGAACAAAAGTACCCGTACCCCCTACGTCAAAAAAGTGTTAGAAGTAAAATAAAATAAACAATAATAAAATTAAAAAGAAAAACATTTCATAAGGATTTGATATTCTCCATCCGAATTCGAGCACTCGGGTTTCGGTTTCAAGTGTGGGTGCATGCGCAAGTCATAACGTGGGTACGACATGAAGTCCGCGTGAATGATTACGTAGCAAACTCCCCATTTTTCGTGAAATGCATGGGATCCACCAGATATCACTGAAGGGAAAAAAAAGCACTTTTTAAAAACACCAGCTGAAAAATGCACCTTTAAAAGCTTTTAAAAACGAAATCCCCAAAAAAGCACCTTTAAGTACTTTTTACAAACGCTACGCACCCTGAAGGAGCAAAATCCAGACAGTTGAATTTTGGTCTTTGAATACATGTTGTTCAAACTAAGAAGCTGATATGCGTTTTCCAGTGGTTTGTTAAAACATATAATACGGCACATAAATGTTATTTACAGAAGAATTAATATATTATAAAGAACAGAAACACATATTTCCAGAGAGTAACAAAATTTAACGTAATTCTTTAACGCAACATAAATTTAGAACACAACAGTTTTCTTATTACCAGATTACCAAAACATTATATATCTCGTTGTCATGGAAATACAAAATAAATATCTTGGGAGTCACAACACATGTTCTTTGAAGGACTTTTATTGAGCCAATTTTGAGTACTTCAGTGGCCAAGTAAAATTAATACTGAGAATTTCGCATTTCTTTATAGTATACAAAAACACAAATTTCTAAACTTAATTTATCTTTAAAATCTATTACTGGGTAAAATAAATTCAACTCATTTAAAACCCATGCACAATAGATTCAACACGTCAAAACAAATTAAGTTGAAATGAGAGAAAAGAATAACACCTGCAACAGACGAGTTTGTTTGTATTGTCTCCCTTAATGCTGCATAGAATTACATTGGGAATTGAAAATGAAAGGATTCAATGTATTCAAATTTATTAAATTCAGTTCAAACCCACCAAGTTCTTTATGAGCTTTGCATTTATCATTAGCTGTTTAAGTTTATGTGTTAGGAGTTTATCACTAAGATTGTCTAAGCAAAAGTTTAAAATTTTCAACCTGGAAAATAAACCATTTTCTTAATGATATGAACAGAAAACCGACCATATAAAAGAAAAGGTATAGCATTGAAGAATATATTTCTTTCTGAAAGTTTTTGGAGGATGTTAAGAGAAAGAGAAAATATCCTTAAATAATATGAGTATATGAACCAGTTTTAAAATAGGAATTGTTAATTGAGATTGAAAACCAAAACTAAAAGTAGGCTAAATTTCTGATCATCCAGTTTGTTATGACTTCTATCAGATTTAAAGTTATTGAGAATTTATTGTAGTCATAAACTGTAAGTAATAAATGCACACTTACCCTGTTATGCTTATGGCTGCAACAGTTGTGAAGTTTAACGGGAGAGTATAATTATTGTCTTGTGGATTTATTTCATTGCTTACTGTCCTAGCTTCCAAAAAAATCAATACTTGCTCCGTATCAGTAGGAATTTTAGTTAAATCAAGCTTAATAGTAAGTTTTTCCTGAAAATGAAAACTCCGTATTAATCTTATCTATCACACATCTGTAACATACTAGAGTCATCATACAATAAAGTTTCAATTATACGAAGAGACTATTTACTGTTTGATGCTTTAATAATTCGATTGAATAATAAATAATTTCTAGTCGATCATTTTTGAGAAATATTGAATGAGGAGCTGCATTGTCACTACTCCTATATCCCTAATCTATTAATTTATGTAAATCTTTTACTATTTCTTTAAATAAATTATAAGAATGTAAACTAATTGCCTAACATCAACTTCATAGATAGGCTATTTACTGATGACAATCTATTATAGAAAAAAATAAACTTAAAATCAAGTTATTAAAATTTTTTTCTCAATTTTAAATAAAAGCTATTTTGAGATAATAACCACTTAACTCTCCCGTTCCAGAAGAGATTGAGATTTCATGTTCACCTGTTATGGCAGTTTTCTAAGGAAGCTTTTTGAACTTAACTCATCCACAGTTCCCTCCCAGTGGGAGATTGGAAAGGGGGCGTTAACGGTTCTTCATACTCAGCATTTACACTCATTCATGTGGAAAAGAATGTGGTCAACTAATTGTTGAATAATTTTAAACTCCCCGTTTTCCAAAACATTAGTTAATAAAATTTTTTTCAATAAATAACTAGCCTTGCTATTTTTATCTCCTTTTTTTTACTGTTTTGTTTTGTATCTTTTCTATTCTTTTTTCTTTTCATTTAATTTTTTTTTAATAAAATCATTAAATATAGAAAGTTAAATTAAATTGTTCTTTAAACTTTTTTAGTAAGAAGTACAATTTCAAAATAATTTCTTAAATAATTAATCTGGTTTTCAAAAACAATACATTGATGATATCTTGTTAATTCTGCTTTATGCCTTTTTTGGTAGAAATATTTCAATTGCCTCTGAAGCAAATTCGATTCAGTTCGAAAAAATAATTTGGCGTACAAATTTTGAATTCTTCACAGCTATAGAAATTCGTCAAAAAATTATCTTAAATGCGACGTTTATATAAAAAAATTCAGTTCTTTACAATTTAAGTATTATAGTTTAAAAAATAAACTATCCATCAGTTAAGACTTTGAAGTGTAATTTCTATATTAATGCCCAAAAAATTACTTGTAACATTCTTTATTTTTATGAATATTTCTTTATATTTTATATATTTTTGATCAAGAAAATGAGGAACAATGTGGTAAATATTGTTCCAGAAGGGTCGAATAATTAGTACACTAATACAATTTTTACTCTATATGTTAATAACAACTGTGATAAGTCTTAGCATTAAAATCTTGCAATATTATTTTGCATGAGTAAAAGTATGATACCTAATTTCTAGACTGGTTTACTCAAACATTATTTTAATCAAAAAATGTTCCTAATAATCTATTATTGTTAAACCTAAACGTTTTTAAATTAAAAGGTCAATAAAATTTTACACAATCTTATAGATCAAACTATATCTTATAAATGACAAAACACATGGTTCTAACATTATGTGTTGAATAGTTAAATATACTTTCAAAGAAGTCATACTTTCGAAATATTATTCTTTAAGAATAATTTGACTGAGCTTTCAAGCATTGTTTTTCTAAACTGATACTTTTATACCTTAAAATTTTGAGAATTTAAATTAATAAAAACCTCTTAGAACAAGAAGATTGCTTTGTATAAAATCCAATCATTAGCAAAAATTATTAAAAGTAATCCCCTTTTTTTAGGTTTGTTTAGTGTACATCATATATTTTAAGATAACATCAATGCAATAATAAAACTGAATTATATTAAAACCAGTATTCCCGTCTTTAGGAACTTGGTCTTCACATAACATGTTCACTATTTTTTAGACAAAAACATTCTACCGCTTTTGGGTAGCCATCGTTTTCCTTAACTTAAAATGAAATTATAACAAAAGCTATTTATGCATCTGCTGGTCGCAAGTTCTGAAGTATTACTTAATTTACTAATTTTTTCATTATTTTATACAATTATGATTAATTTATAATGTAGAAACTATATTATTATTTTCAGTTACTATGAAGCTCTGCTTATCAACTATGTGGTTGCTTCTCATTCATTTGTTGTTCTTATTCTTCTCAAAAATTCTCTTTTATTTAAAAAAAAAAGATTTTGTTGTTAAAATATATAATAATCATAATTTTATGTAAGGGTATTTTGTTAATGTGTTTATCACAACAAAAGAAGATTAATTAGAATTAGATAATTTTGTGATTAATTCGAAAGATCTTAAAAACAGATTTTTATAAATATGTTTTGCACATTAACAACTTGTTTCATTTACTCACTCACAAAATATACATTTACCTTTTTTCCTTGAGAAAGAAAATTTTTTCCCTGTGTTAGGTCACAGATAAGAGTAGCATTATTTTTATGATTAAAAGAATCTTCAGGAGCAAAACAGAAATCTTGATTAATGCTTGGCAATTCAGGTGGTAGAGTGATTAATAACTCCGCTAGATAAGCTGGTTCTCCATGATTGACAACTTCAATAGATAAACTTAGAGTTGAGTTTTTCCCAATAGTTAAAGGTGTATTTCTGAAAAATAAAATTTTATAAATGAAGCACAAGAGAGTTAACCAGTTACATAGCATTGCATAACTTATGCATAGAAACAGCCCATAACATTTACCTTGAACTCAATAGCATCTTCTTATACTGTTAAACCTGCATTAGCACTAGTTAAACCTGCATTTATTTCGAGCAAGAAGATCAAGGGAACAATAAGATATTTAAAAGACTCACCATCAAAAAAATTTGACTTTATAAAACATAAACATCATCATCCTGAATGTAATACAATTCTAAAATGAAAATCTTATGATTTTTTTAAATGAAAAAGTTGATTTTTAATGTTTTATGTTTTCAATTTATATTGAAAACCTGTGGTCACTTTTTCTTTTTACTAAAACAATTAATAACTTAATGTTTGATTTACAGAAAAGCATAGTGCTCCAAAATTTAATAGTAAGCAGCTAATTAATTGAACTTTTTCCTTTAATTTAGGGGAAGGATGGAGTTAAGTTTTTGTTCCCCAATCTACAACTCTAAGGTAAAGGTTATATTTTAAGATATACTTACATCATAGAGATTTATCTTCACCCTTTGCAATTTTCTATGTAGTTCAAATATGAAATGTATGTATTTGTTTTAATACTCAAATTGTAAATTACAAAATGCAAATGTCTAACTGCAATATAAATAATTAGATGGATTAAATATATTATTTGAGGTATACTTACTCAACCATGCCAACTACGTTCACATTAATAGCTAAATCAGAGTTGCACATATCATCATTTCCACAACCAGTTAAAAATGAAATCTGATATTAAATAAATAAAATTAGATATATTTTATATTCAAAAATAAACATACAATATTTATAAAATCTTTAATATATGAATCTCTGCTAATCTTCAATTTTTCCATGTGAAACTAAGTAACATGCTTTTGAGCAACTCATATTATAAACAAATCATCAAAAAATCTTGCTTTTATATTTTTCATTTCTGTAACGATAAAAGTTCTAAAAATATGGTTACAAACTCATTTTAAATTTGAACTTACTAACTTTAAAAAAAGGTCTAGATTTTAAGTGCAAAATTTTTAAGTAAGGTAAGCATATTTTTTTATAGTTTTTTTAAAAGTTTACTAATTAAGTAAAAGTTAAAAAATAGATAAAATAACAGATAATATCATAGATAATTAAGCATGATTACTACTACAATACCAAACAACTTAGTGCAGGCACAAAATCTGATGTTTATTGTAGTAAATTTATTTTTTCAATGAAAAGTAATGATTTTTCAGAAAAAGACTTTTAATAATATCTTTTCCTTAAAATTATAATTTATATTTCCCATGGTTGTAAATAATTATTTTTAGGAATTGACTCCCTCCCATACAACCATCAGTGTTTTGATATCCAAACACATCTGTTATGTGTCCAAATTGATCTGTAGATGTGTTTGACACCTCATGGATATCTAAATATGTCTAGGCCCAAGAATTTGGGATATTTTGGATATCTCTGAGACATCATTTATGGCTATGTGGAGGAAAGATATTTGAATATAAGAGAAATAGCAAGATATATTTAAGTTCTAGACTTGGATATCTTAGACATGTCTAAGATCTTTCTTATTAATTTGTTTAAGTTAAAGTCTGGATAAGTACTGAATGACTGAGAGATTTTTTAAATTATACGTAATATCTAATGCAGATCCTGTTTTGGGGTATTTAGAGATTTAAGCTTTTGAATATTGCTCAAAATGCTTTATTTAGAATTTGCTATCTACATAAATATGCACAAATACAAAAGTTAAAAAATTTCAAAAGAGAAAATAATACTTATTATTGTAATCATTTTCAAATTAAATATAGCTAATAATGCTTTAACTTAGGATCACCTACAATATTAAGCCTATTATATTATTATGATTAAAAATTATAAAAATTTTGAGATAAAAAGTGCGTTAAAAGAAATTTAAAAATTTTAAAATTAGAACATCACAAAACCATACATTAGATCTTCAATAATACAATTTCAAGAAATTAATAAAAATAATAGGTGATACATTTTATTTAGAGATAAAAGAGTTTAAAAGTTATGTGTTTAGTAGCTTTATACTAGATTTATTTACAGTGATTTCAAAAATTATAACATTGATTCAAAATTAAAGCACCTTACAAAATTTCAATCTACAACTCAAAAGTTAATGCGCACTACTAAAGTTCAATCTATATAATAGAACAATAAATAATTAAATATTGATTTTGATAACAAATTTATACTTTATAATGTTATCTTTCAGTATTTAAGAAAATATAATAAGTAAAATTTCAGACGGCAAGCATTTATAAAACTAAGCATTGCATTGTGACTATATTCAATAATGTCATAAATACTAATAAATTACAACCAAACCTCGATCCATCATTCTTGTTTCTCTGTTTTCCCGTCAGTATCGTTTTGTTTGCTAACTGTACTGTCACAAATTCAATAGTTATAAAGTTAATAATACCTGTTTCAATCCTTTTTTAAACTAACAGATTCTCACATCTACCATTCAGAAATTCTGCCATCATATATATATATATATATANATATATATATATTGTAGTTATTTTATTTTGAGAAAAAATGTGCTAATAATGATGAAGAGAAAGCTCACAGTTTGGGAGAAACGCTTCAAACTGCATATTTAGCGTTAAGGCACCAGCTGATGAAAATGTTGAAACTTGTGGTATTGTTGGTTCAAGAACTTGAAGAAAAGCAAAGTGATTTTAAAGTAGTGGTAAAAAGAAACTACAACTAGTGCTAACATTCGTGGAAGGAAACCTCTGAAAAAACTAGAAAGTTTCTGCATTCACTCAAAGTTACTGAAAATGAACAGCAATGCATTAGAAATGTCGAAAATTCATTGTTTGCATTTAAAAGAAAAAAGAATTTAAAAACAAAAATTTGGAAATATTTTAACTAAATGATCGTGTTTATTTATCTTTTTTTCATAGTGTATAAATTTTTGCATTATGTATGTGCACCAAAAATATCTACCACATTGAATAACTTTTGATCTAATGATCAGATCTTGATGTTCTAGGACTCATTTTATATGGTTGAAGGGGGTGACTCCAATATACTAATTAATTAGAGCAAACAATATCTTAAGTTGGGAAATCAGACACAAAAACATTTTTACTCTAAGTAAACATACCTTTTTTTCCAATGGATTCAGATTTCTGACCACCATTATATGGGGGGTAGAAGCAATCAGGGAAATATTGCCCCATAATTTGGTCAGGAAAGCAATTCAAAGTTTGGATCCCTTAATGTAAATTTTGCTTATTTCGTATTCCGACATATCTCAAGAACTTCTTAAGCGAATTCAAATATTTCTGCACACAATTATAAAATTTGTTTATCTAAAGATAATTCCATGCAAAAATATTTCTTTTTAAAAATTTATTATTCTATTAAATAATAGTGGAAAAAATTTTAAATTATAAGGCATACAATTTTTAATGTCATCTTAAAGTATTTAATTTTACATGACGAAATACAAAATTTGAGTGAAAACAGTTTAATAGTTCCAGAGAAATCGAATTTTAAATCGACAATTTATTTAAAATTTGATTCTACTCAACCGATTCCGCTCAAATTTTGCATTTGTCATGCAAAATTACATACTTTAAAATTATATAAAAAAATTTATACCTTAAAAATTCAAAATTTTTTCTACTATTATCTAATAAAATAATAAATATTTACTATAAGTCATATTTACAACGACTTATCCTTTGATAAAATAACTTGGTGTGCAAAAACTTTTCAATTTGTTTACAAAATTCTTGAAATATGTCCAAATAAGCAAAAAGTAGAATTAACATTAAGAGCTCCAAACTTAGAATCACTCTCCAGACTAGAATATGGGGACCATATTTTGGGCATCAGAAATCTGAATCCGTTGAGAAAAAAAAGTATGTTTATTCAGAGAAAGTACGTTTTTGTATCTGATTTCATAACTTAAAATATCCTCTGCACTAATTGATTAGCATATTTGAGGTCACTCTTTCGAGCCCTTAACCCCTTAACTGCCGAGTAAAATTTATGTGATTCACTCCCCAGTGCCACCGTTTTTCGCTTAAGTGCACTTTCTTACGCAGTGTTATGGTGGGGGGAAATGATGCACGCCTTGCAATTTAAAAACAGTTTACTTTTACAAGACAAGAAAAAGGAAAGAAAGAAAATACAAAATTTAAATTAAATAATAAAAATACAATATAAAAGATGTTAAAACTTGGCTGTTGTATGACAAATCCTGAAACATGGTTGGATACATAAACCAACATCACATTCATTGCACTGATAGCGGGATTTACAAGGAATTTTTTTCTTGAACAAACAGCACATTTTCCGATGCATTTGAAGAGGTTGATGGAAAGAATAAAAAGCACCAAATACATACGGGAAACGAAAGCGAAAAAAGAATAAACCCGACCTTACTCAAAAGGAGACAAGCAAACGATTAATACGATATCACTTTTCCATAACATCCATTTCCCATTCCCCCTCCTCCGAAATTAGTAATATATTTGCAAAGCAAACACTTTCAAGGTCATTTTACTGCAATCTGAAGTAGGGGTGTAGTTCTATTTATAGCAGCGCAATGCAAAGCATCGTACTTCAGGAAAACGTATATATACGCCTGCGGCAGTTAACACATCGTCTGGCCGAGACGTATATATACGCCCGCAGCAGTTAAGGGGTTAAGCATGAAGATCCAATCTTTAGATCATAAGTTATGCAGAGTGGTCCATTTTCTTTGGCGAACTGTACATAATTATTTTATTAAAATAATTTCTTCAATTGTTAATTTTTAAATCCATTACTTTACATCTTTCATACATTTTTAAGTAATTATTTGATATTTTATGTTGACCAGTATTCATTATTTTCTCATGTCTATCATTTGCAATGAAGGGTCCCACAAGAAATGATCGATCAAGGTTCTATTGTATAAGAACTAAATATACTTACAAAAGAGGTTAAATTTGTTGAAGATTGTGGATCTATAACAGGAAAATTATTATTGAAAGCTCTATTCTCTTCTTCTGAAACTAGACTGTACTTATAAAGCAGTTGAATTGGAGTGATTAGATCTTTAGTGCCATTCTGAAAAATTAAAAAGTGTAAATATGTATGAAATAGTGAGTTCACAACTATTGAAAAAGTTACAAAATAATGGATCACATAGTAGCTGTAATTTAATGGTGTTGTAACATAAAAAAAAACACATGTCAATGATTAACAGCTTGCTTTTTTCTCTCAGTAACATTGAGTATGAAAAGAATACCCAATAAGGGAATTATAAATCCCCCTTCCCTTAAAAAAGTCTTCAGTCAACACAAGAGTTGCATTTTCTTAGAAAAGTTCGTGGGAAGGCAAGAACCCTTTGACCGACAGTATGATAAAAATTGATTTAATTAGAGATGGATTAATCAGAGAAACTGGATGAAATCTGGATTTAATTAGAGAAACAGGAGGAAATCAACAGAAGCACCTTCGCAAAGCTTTAGCAAGTATGCAGAATGAATTTTAACTGCAAACAGAAATGATAAAAATGTATGATGAATAGTTCTTATATTACTATCAGTAAATTTATAGGAAATAGAGTTAACTGTAGTGAAAAAACAGTGGAAAAAAATTCCTCTCTAAGGATCAAAATTGTACAGAGTAACAAAAATAAAACTAAATAAATAATAATAATAAAAACTATGTAAAATCAAATTTTGAAATATGAAATTCAAAATCTTAATTAAGTCTTATAGTTTAACAATTTCCATATTAAACGTCTACTATGATTAAAGTACGTTAAAAGAAGATTAAAATGAATGCATAAAATTTTTTTTTTAAATAATTTTCATGAAATAATTTTTTCTTCGATTTTTTAATGCTTTTAATTAACAAAACAAAATCAGCTTTGTAATTTTTTTTATCATCAAAATTTTAAAATCAAATTACAAAATTAAAAAAATCAACAATAAAGTGCTAGTAAATGATATAACACACAGAAAGTTTATTAGACGTTTCACATAATTTTGATGCAACTCACTACTAAATTTTTTATTGTTTATTCAGAGAATAGGCCTGAAAATATTTTCCATTTCTAAAGAATGACTTACTCGAATGTAAACTTCTTCTGTAAAACACTTTTCACCAGCAATTGCTAAACTTGAGTTATGTTTCAAAACTGAGTAACTGTTTCCATTCTTATACAAAAATCCTCTGTTAGATATAAAGTTTCCTTGAACTGGATGCTCCAAGTAAAGTTCATGTGTAAAATCTGTAAATATACAGAAATTGAATCAGAATTATATAAAATATTATAAAAAATAAAACTATTGTAAAATATATTGTTTAAAAAAACTATTTTAGCATTTACAAGTTTATTAATTTTATAAAAAATTAATATATATCATAACAATGTGTTGATGCATGTCAAAACAGTTCTTTGACTTCAGCATTTAAATTTACATTTCAGTGATGTAACACTAAGGAGTTCAATATGATTAAAAAAATTAGTTTGTACCTTTTTCTTTTACTTTCATAAGTACCTATATACTCATATTTAAATTTCTTACTGAAAAATCAACTTTATAATTTTTTAACTAAATACTATATTTTTTTGAGTTTGTCAAAATATATGTTCTTTCCTATGTTCTTGTCAAAATATATGTTCTTTCCTAACAAGTTATCATGAAGCTTAATACAAGCCTCCTTATAACATGACTAGGACTGGGCGATATTAGAAATTATATATCGTGATATATCGTCAGTTTTGCATCGCGATATAATCGAATCAATCATGTTAAAAGTTTTGAATTTCATTTACTTTAAGGCACAGAAAGTCAGATTTCTATCAAGACTTCATACGCATATTGATTTAAATCAATTTATAAATTTGAAAATATATATGTTTTGCTAAAGAAAGATATTAAATAAATTGACTAAGATGTACAAATCTTACTTAAAATATTTATTGAAAAAATGTGTGTAGATACAGAATGAAATATTTGCACTTCTTTATCGTTTATAAGGTATAAGCAGTCTTAATTTAAGTTAACCCCTAAAACACCCTTAATGAAAAAAAATATTGTTATTAAACAAAAGCTGATTTTAAAATTTCAAAATATATTTTAATTAAAATAAAAGTTAGATTGACTAAAAGCCGAAGTTTAAAATTAAAAATGTTCGAATTTTAAACTAAAAAGTAAACATAAGATTTGTAATAATTTCTTAAAATTTTCGTTCTCTGAAAGATTTCTCAGTTTAAAAATAAAAAGGGAATTTTATAAAGATATCTAGCTGAAATTATTGAAAGAAAATTTAAAAAATTAAAAAAAAAGTTTGTTAAGAAATTCATTATACACTTAAAACAAAGTGTTAAAAATATTTTTTTTTTTTAAAAAAAAAAACTTTTTTTAACAAATCAATATTTGCTTGTACTATTATGCGTAAATAATTACAGAATTATTAAGTTCGATCGTAATGTTCAAATTCTTAATGAAGAAGTAAACACAAGTTTTGTTATATTTTCTAAAAATGATCACGCAAATAACAAAAGATTTCTTAGTTTAAAAATAAAAAAATAAATAAAAGTGAAATTTATCAATATATTTACCTAACAGCATAGGAACAAAATTTAAAAAATAAGTTCGTTAAAAAATTATTTGTATGCTTAAAACAAAGAGCTAAATAAATTTTAGAAAAAAAATGCTTCTTAAACACTATTTTTATTATTATTTCATATAAATAATTAAATTAAATTAAATAATGACCGAATTATGAACGAAAAACAAAGTAAGGCAAAGTTTCTTAATTAAATTCTTAAAAATAAAAACAAAAGAATTGTGATATTCGGTAATATATTTAGCTAATTAACTAATAATATAAAACGAAAATTAAAAAAAAATAATGATTTTACTCTCTAATAAAACGAAGTAGTAATTGATAAAAAAAAAAAAAAAAATGAATAAAATTCGCAAACTTTTCAAATTCTTTTGAACAAATAAAGTTTATTGACTTATGTCCAAAAAATAAGTTTTGTTTTAACTTTATTTCTAAAAATAAAAACAACTCAAGATTTATAAATTTAAAATCAGTAATAGAAGCCCATTAAATTATTAGAAGTTTTATCCGAAAGGTTTTTAATAAATTAAAAGAAAGTAAAAAAATAACCTAACAAATTTATTTACTTTGTAATTTAATTCCTTATGGGTGCCTTAAATTAGATTTCCGATAATTTTCACATTTAAAAATATAAAAAAAGTTTTGTCAGAAAATAAATAAAAAACTTACCTAATTAATGAAGAAACTTTTCTTTATAAATTCTTTTCAATAATAGATTGCGTTCAGAACAAGGTTACGACGGCGATCACGAAGTTAATCCCATTGAAAATAATCTACAAGAAACGATTTCAAATCGCGAAGGTGCGAAAACGAACATGTGATATAACGATATAAGGTCTCAAAAGTGATTCTGATTCTACCGCTCATCAGTCAAGGCCGTCTCAACATAACGAAACAATATCGTCTTCCACAGCGCGAGTTGGCATCGGAACGTAAGAGAAAGTCCTTGCGTGTATCGCTATATCGTTATATCGTCTTCTTCACTCGAGGGCTTAAATCAGATTTCTGATGCATCGCTTGGAATGAAAACGTTGTATCGGTTTGCCGATATAGGCGTTAAATCGATATGTCGCGATATATCGATTTATAGCCCAGTCCTAAACATGACAGAACGTTGTACAGCTTTACAAGTTAAAACACGTGTATTACTGAAAATTATATCTGCTTTTCTATGCACTGATTATAATTTTAAGTGATAAGGAAGTAATTTGATTAACTTAGATAACAAATGAATTTGATTTTATGCCCTTCAACATGTTAATAAAAATATTAATATAAATTACTTATTATTAAAATTTAATCTTTCATAGTATATTCATTTTTTTCTTTTACATTAGAAGATATCTTCAGGTATTTATGCACACATGCTTTATTCAAAACTTTGCTCACAGTACTATAAGTTACAATCCTTTTTACCCTTAACCTTTTTTTTCTTAAAAAAAAAAAAAGCTAAAACAGAAAATTTATTAATTTTGATTTTTTTTTTACTATGTACTACTAAAATTTCATAGTGTTCCATGCAGAAGCATATTTGTTAGCTTTAAATTCATTTGAGACACATTATTACTAAATTAATCAAAAATGATTGCTCTTGAGTATTGTGTATGCACTTCTATTAATCTATGATAAATAAAAAATTCTTATCACAGAATTTGTTTTCAAATTGATTTTTGATATAGTCATATTTTAATATTACTTAATAATATTTTTACAGTTCATCTAAGACAGATAAATAGAACTTTAAAAACTATGTACTTTAATTTTTACATATCTGAGTTGAGTGCACCATGAAGATAGAGAGAAATTGCTATGATTAAAAAGTTTAAATAATAATGATAATTACTGATACTAATAATCAGGTATTACAAATATTCAGTTGCTGTAAAGGGTTCTAAAGATCTTGCAGTAGGAAAGTCTTTAAAGCAAATCAAGTCACTATGACTAAATGCTCATAGTAAAAAAAAAAAAAAAGGATAGGTTCAAAATGTATCTAAAATGCATTTCAAAAGAAAATATTCCTTTTGCAAAGAACTTTTTTATATTTAGTGAAAAGTGATATTTTATTTCAGAGACTAGAAGAACATGTTTTCTTAATTCCTTTAAAGAATATAATTTTAAAAAAATTACCTAAACTTAAAGGGGCATGCTTTCCAAAATACGTAAGACAGGCTTTAACACTGATGCAAGATACTTTCTGACCTTGAAAAGTACAGTTGGTTACATTTGTATTTATTTGTTTTGGTGTAAATACAATCTTTGCTGATAATTGTATGACTGGCTGAGATCTGAAAAATAAACAAATATTAAGACATGAATACAGTGCTATGCTAGAAGTGGGAAGAACACACCCTCCCACTTTCAAAAAAATACCCATGTGTCACCCTACTTCTGTTTTTACTAAAATCCATCTTTCCACTTTAATACTTTAATTTTATTAAAATCCATAGCCTTACATCTAAAATCACACATAAAAAGCTACAGTGTCATACAAACATATTTTAGTGGTGTAAATTAGAGATATGGCGATAAGTGCTCCCATAACATCTGTAGAAATAATGAACGATCTTCTGGCATGCCTTCATAAACATGAATTTAATGATATGATAAATATTTACCGAAAGTAAGAAGACAGTAGCATTATTTCAATCTAATTAAAGACATAATTTTCAATCGAATTATACGAATCTAAGTAATGCTGCGAATACACTTGTGTTTTCTACTGCAGAATATGAATGTGTGTTCATCTTTATGAATGACAGCCATACAAATATAAAGAACATTTTTTGAACATGAATATCAAGTCATATTTTTCATGAAGTGTGTGGGTCCATCCTTAATTCAATTTAATCCATTCCCATACGAAAATTCGTGGCTCAGTAGTAAAGGGAAGCATAGATTACAATTGATAAAGACACCAATTGGTAGAAATACATAAAATAATTGATACAAAACAACTTAAAATAAACAATGTTAAAAAAATATTTAAAAAATAAATTTTTTGAAATAATAAATTAAGTTGAAAATTCTTTTCAGATTGAATGTCTGTTAAAAGAAATGTAGAAGAACATAGAAATTAATATTGAATATATAAACCAAATTCATATTTTAAAATTAGTACACGACACCTCACTCTAAAAACCAATTTAAGGATTCTGATTAATAACATTTGAAATTTAAAACAATTTAAAATAAATTTTTTCAAAATAAAATGCAATAAAAATGCAATTTTACTTGATATCTATTTTCAAACCTAATAAACATCATGCATATTCTGATTTTTATTGCTTGTTTTACTGTTATAAGAGACCTTAAAGTTTATTAAACATTCACCGAACATATTCAACGTGTATATATTTATATATATATANTATATATATATAGATATAAATAAAAACCATTAAGATTAGTATATATTTTTCTAAAAAAGATTAATGAAAAAGAAGAAAAAAAATTATTTAAAAAAATATTTATGCTAATTTCTTTTCTTTTCAAATTTCAGTAGGAGAGTGTCGGGTACCCTCGCCCACTGTCAGTTTCATATGAATAGAATATTTTTTCAAGTCAATGGGCCATCGGACATTAACTGTTATATTTAAAAAATATTATTTTCAAAGTTTCAAGTATTTATGCATCTGGTAACATGGTAAACAATAGTTTTGAAAATATGTTGAATACAGTAGTCATGAGATTAAGAAAAATTGGTTGAATGTTTCGATTAAACTTCATTTTAATACTACTAAAAAAATAATTTTTTCCATAAATACAGCATTAAATTATGTAGTCTTAAGTTTAATTTGCACAAAGAAAGAAGTTTACATGTGAAAAATTGTTCGAGTAATTACAAATTTATAAAAAAATTGGATTTCGGGTAGCCCCGCTCACATGAATGTCGGGTATCACCGCCCAATTTCATTTTGTCGATAAATGTACGGTTGCAAAGATTATTATTTTATTGCTTCAAATTTGAATGTTATATGCATTTTTAACAACAAATATATGTATGACATTAAGTATGACATTTATTGTTATTAAATGATAGAATTCACTAAAAGTATATAAATATGTAATAAATAAAATAATTTTGTGATAAAAATGATAAATGAGGCTTATCTATTGTCAATACATTGGTCACTTTCATTTACACCTGAAAAAACAGTCAAAAAACATAATTTTTGTAACTGGGCGGGGCTATCTGACACATTTTGAAAAGAGCTGAAAAACATGTTTTTTTAAATTTCTATTTTTTTAAGTTAAAGTATTCTTTTTTTGGTTTATTCTTTTTGCATTACTTAATTAGGTGATAAAACAATAGAAACATACAAAAATATTGATTATTACTCAATATTATACAGAAATATAAGCAATACTCCTTAAGTAGGCGGGGCTACCCGACTCTCCCCTATATATATATATATATCGAGGGTCAGGAATCCTAACATGTAAAAAGCATTTATGTTTATTCAGAGAAAGTATGTTTTTGTGTCTGATTTTGTAACCCTATTAATTAGTTTGCCCTATAAATAGTTTGCACTAATTAATTAAGTATATTTAAGGTCACCCCCAGAAACCATTAAGATAAATACAGAATTACATAAAAATCCAAACATTAATCAGAACTAAAGTTATTTAGTGTAATATTATTATTTTTGATTTTATGCACTGCACACTATAGTTTTCTAAGATTATCTAAAAACTTTAAACACTTTGAAAAAAAGCTAACTAAAAAAAATAAATAATAAAATTTTCATTTCAAAACGAGAATCTTTAAATTATTTATTTTATATTAAGCATTTTTTATTTTATATCTTTTTTTATTTATAATTTCTTTTAGCTTTAATTTAAAATATTAGATAAAATCTGTCTGTCAATTGAAATTTTAAAAATTTGTTCAGCAAAATAAAATGAACTAATATCATATATTTTTCAATGACAGTAATATTTGAACTAATTTGATCAATGAAATTATGAGATGTTTAGCTTAAATGTACTTTTCATGCTTGATCATTAAATTTTATCGAGCAAGTTATTCAAGAATTGAGATATAAAAATATTCTTTGTATGTCTTTGATAAATCACGACGTCTGATTCCTTGGAAAAATACCTTAGACGTCATAATAGGCTGGACATCAAACCTGGATTTCTAAGAGACATTTCATAGATATTCAAATATCTTGGAAATCTCTGTTGGATTTCAGATTATCTTTTTGTATAGCGATATCTATAAGATGTTTTGGGAGCATTTGTGGCTCTTAGTTCTTTCTCAATGATGATTTGACAGTATGATAAAATTTTTATCTCCCTCGCGCATTGATTTGCATATATTTTTTCTTCTTTCTGATAAAGATGCTAAACATGTGTTTAAAGGGCAGTCTCTATGGAAAACAGGAAAAAACACATAAAAGGAATTTTTGTATCCAACAACAGACTAAATTAGAAAAATTATTATAAATAACAGAAGCATTTATAGTAAATGGGAATTTAAATTTTTACCTAAACAACACAGCATTAGATGATGCATATGAACCAACTAGCAAATCTAGAAATAAAGTAAAAGGCAAATAATGGGGTTAACATTTTAATACATTATACAAGTTTTGCTACTTATATATTTTTAAATGATTACACAAGTTTTTCATGTTTTTTCTTAAAAATATGAATTTATTTATTTTTTGTATAGGTGAAATGTTATTTTTGATAAAAAAAATAAATAAATGCAAAATATAAATAACGGCCCAGTCCCACATTTGTCTACATTAAGGTCATGACTTAAAAAAATTGCTTGCAGTAGAAATCAATGAACTTTTTTTTTATAAAATGAGAAAATTAAAACTATTTTTTTCATTTCCAACAAAAATATCCTGCACCAATAACAATGAGAATTCTTAACTTGAGTAAATTCAGCACAGTCAAAATATATAAGTTTAAATTATAAACTTCCCATTGGAATACTCGTTTTGCATTTTTTGCATTTACATTTCATTCTTTAGTACATCATCATTCAAAACAAATATTCTACAATGATACAACTATCCATAAGAGGGTAGGCAACATTACAGTGAGTTACAAAGACTTTAAAAAAGCATGAACCAAAATTAAGTATTTTTAAGGGCCCTTATTTTCCAAAATAAAAACTAAGCAGTTTTTAAGGACCGTGGGAACCCTGATGTAATTATAAATCATTAATAGAAATAAATTTGCAAACATGAAAATAAGTTAATCATTATTTCTCACCAGGATATTGGTTAGAATCAATGTCAAATCCTCGAGAAATATGAATTCCAAATCCTGATAAAGATAAATCAATATCCTTAGCTGCTATTCTCTGAAATGGAATGAAGTAGGAATTAAATTTCATAATAGATAAGTTTTTATTTTTAAAAAAAGACTATCACTCTACTATTAATATAACAAAAATTTTAAACGCACTACAAAAATTAAAATGACGTTGACATTTTTTAAGCATGCAACATGCTCTTCATCCAAATTAAATCAAAGTGACCAAAATGATGTGAACTAAGTAAGGTAACAAAATACAATGTTACAAACAAACAAAAAGCAAGAAAAATAAATGAAATCAACCTTTAAAACATCACTTGCTAAGTGTAAATTGGCAATTTAGTTTCAATAATTAAGCAAAAACTCCCCTTCACAGATTACAAACTCAATGCATTTTTATTCCAACAAAAAATAATGAAAATAAAATAAAAATATATTCATGTACCTGAACATACTCTATATTCATTCCACTAGCAGAGCCATGATAAATATATACCGCACCTTTCTCATCTTCATAGGGCGCTCCTATCGCAATATCTAAGGGGAAAAAAAGCATTGGTGTTTAAAGTATTTTTTTTTAATTATTGGGAGTATTTAAATGAGCTTATAACTTCAGCAGAATAAATCTATTGCCTTTATTTAAGTATAGATAAAAAAAAATTCAAGACAAGTTGGATCAATGTGAAAATAAATAAGGAACTCTAATGTAGAAAAGATATGTTAAAGCGTTAAAAATTATTCTATATAGATGTAAAAAATAATTTTAATTTCAGGATTGCTTTAGCAGAAAATTCAATGATAGCACGGCTGCCCGGCATTTCTCATTGAATGAAAAACAAGTTTGTTACCAGTGTAAGAAAAAGCCCTCATTATTGATTAAATAACCTTGATCAAATAAGAAAGAGCCCTCATTATTGATTAAATAACCTTGATCAAATAGGTTGAATAGAAACTGTACTGCTATTTGCATCAGAATGATGAATTTAACTAAGCAACCAGAATTTGCTCAGAACAATTGGAAGAAAGCTATGAAGAAGCTATGAAGATTCAATAAAACTCTTCAAACAGCAAAATGAGCAGTGTTTTAAAAATATGTTGGTGAGTAGGATCAATATCATACATGTCATAGCTTTTATAAAATAGCAAGCAAGCAAATACATTTACCATTGTAGCCATCTTGGTTTATATCACCAAGATTTGCAAGAGCAGTACCAAATCTACCATATGCTCTGTTTTTTCCATACAACTCTGCATAATTTTGGAGTCCCTAAAATAAAGAAAAATCTCAATTAATATACAATATCACATTTTATACATTAAATTAATTCATGTAAAATATTTATAATTTGATTCAGTATCAATGTTTGTCTTTAAGAATACCTGTTAGTTTAAAAATAAACACATTAAAGGCTGAAGATCAATTTTGGAGGGAAAAACCATTTATTAAGTCATAATAAAAAAGTCATAATAAAAATTAGTCATAATAATAAATAATAAATAAATAAATAATAAATAATAATAATAAATAATAATAAATAAAGTCATAATAAAAATTACCAGATTAAAGCAAGAAGTATTTCTAGTAATATTCTTCCAACACTTTTCATTTTCCTCCAATGAATCAAAATTATTTCATCATACTTTTAATCTTGATTTTTTTCTTCATTCTCCCAACAGTAATGCAGTAGAATTGATAGCATTTTAAAAACTTTTTTTTATTTTATTTACAAATTTCAGCATTCCATTTTGATACAATTTTCAAAAAGGAGTCATAACATATATATGCCATGTCTAAATTATTTGGGGGGGGGGAGATAATAACCTAAAATGCATTAACAAAGAGTTCACATGAAAAAAGTTTTCTTTCTCAGCAAAAAAAAAGCAACAAAACGGTATAAAAACAGCAAAAAAATATTTATGTGCTCAGTGGCGCTGATAAAAACCTTGCGTTGGGAGGGTGAGAGTTTGAGAGAAAAACGTTGGAGAATCTCAAATTTTAGGAAAGTAAATTATTCTTCTATTATAAAAAAATAATTCAACCATATTTAGTGGAGGAATTAACGCTGCGACTGATTACATAAATCTGTAAAACAGTGTAATAAGAAACATAAAATAAAAAAAATTTTAAGCTAAAAATTTATTTAAAAAAAAATTATTTAAAAATAAAAAGATTTAAAAGTTTATTACAGTTAAAAGTTGGAGAAAAAAGTAATATTAACGAAACAATTAATAACTAATAACGAAATAACTTAATAACAACATAAATAAGAAATAACTAAGTGTGCACCAAAAAAATTCTAAAGAAATAATGAAGCGGAAACGAGTTTCACTTTCACAATCTTTGGGGGTAGAATTTTAATTCGATTTAATGACGTAATATTTGCACATTTTTTAATCATGAAAAAACAACTGCACAATTTCTAAATATAATTAGGTTAACAAAATATATGTAATGACCAAACACAAGAGATGAAAATTCTATACAATTTTAGTTTAAAACAAATAAAGAAAGTATCATACCAAACCATTGCTAATAAAAACATAGACTTTTCCTTCATCAACACCGTTATCCATGGAATGTAAAGGAGCTCCTACTAATAAATCATCATACTCATCACCATTTAAATTTATTCCGAGTACAGCAGCACCAAAATATTCTCCTAACTGTAATTCAAGGAGCAAAATTTACACATGAGAACATGAAAATTAACAAACTTAACACATGAGAAATTTTTTGGGTACTTAAATTGAAAAATATTAAATCCAAAGGCTTTTTGAAAAAATAAAAATTCATCAAATGTATGCTGAATGGTAAAGTTATAATAAGTATTTTGGCATCACTAGCTTTCACCTTAGTACTTACCCCCTGTGGCTGTTTGACATTTTTATGCTTAATCTGGTTTGAGTGAGATATGTATTTAATGGTTCTGTTCATTCAGAATCCCATTAAATGAAAGGCACACTGCTTCCTCATTCTTTTTATTATTTCATTTTAACTACTGATATAAAGCTAAACAGATATTTAGATAATATTTTCTATAGCACAGATAGGTACTACTTTAATGAACTGCCAAATGCAACGAAATGGGTGAAATCAATTCAGAGATTGCAGCAGACATGTTTTTCATAAATATCTCATTTTATTTTATAACCAAAATTGAAAAGATATTCATACATTTGGCAATTCTACTATTGAAATCAAAGAACTTTTTTTGAGTTAATCATACCCATATTTGTTTGACCTTAAGATTAAAACAAAGAAAGCCTTTCACAGTATAACTATTTAAATTTTTAAAATAACATAAGTATAGAAAAAAATTATAAAAAATTTACATCTTGATTAACTTTGCAAACATATTTTACTTTATTGCGCAATGAAAAATCTGCTCATCATAGGAACTCAAGAATGATGTATAAAATAAATAAATATTGTAACGCACACAATTTTTTTTTATCTAATCATCTGGTTTCCTTGTAGTGTATCTACTACAAAAATATAATTCCAACTCACTAGTATATAAGACATGTTCACTCAAATTCATAGATGAAGATTGACATTGCCGATAACACACTGATCCCCATATTGGAGACACGAACGAGATGTGAACACACACGAACGAGATGTGAACACGTCTACCTAGGCAGAAACGCCTACTACGATTTGAACACGCCTACTTCGATGGATAGTCCACATTGAACAGTTGACTTGCTACTTGTGACAGCGACATTGTCTTCTTCACGCAGTTGCTTCTCAGTCTCGATCACACACAATGTATACACTCTACTGCTAAATGCAACACAGGAGCGACCACGACCGTGAACTTAATACAGCTCTCACAATCAGCACTAAAAAAGTACGGTGATCTTAATACAGCTCTCCCGGCTTCTCACAAAACAACAATGAATCAATTAGTGGTATCCGTTCATTGAATTCTATCACTAATATAATTCTGGTGGGGGAGTACTGTAATGTATCTACCACTACAAAAATATAATTCCACTTCACTAATATATAAGACATTTTAACTGAATTCTATGGTGAGGTACCTTTTCATAGATGAAGGTTGACATTGCTACACACTGATCCCCATATTCCTCATGCTAAAATGCAGTCTTTGTTTCCCTATGATAGTTTTATTTTTTAAAAACTATTAGGCTAATTTTGCTCAAATTCTGGATTTTTCATTTAAAATTACACAGTTTAAAATGATGCAAACTTTGCATGATATGAAACTTTGCATACCTAAAAATATTTTAATCACACCTAAATTAAATAATAAAAAATAGCAAATAAATATAGAACTTTATTTTCGTATAAACTAATTTTACTATGACATGTGAAAGTTTTTTAATTGTTTAAAGAGTTTCAAAGATATTGCAAAATACACTAAAACAAAAATATTCATATTAAAGGACTTTCTATCCTGACAGAACAATTAGAATCATATATTTCAAACAGCAGTATGAAATATCACGATATTCATATATTGTAAAATAAAGGTATGGCTTTACAGCGGATGAACATTTTTGTGTCTCTTTCCATAAAGTTGCACACTTTAATACACAATAAAACATTAAATAATCCAATTTTCTTATTTTAAAATAAAGTATTTTTATTTAAATTTATTAATATCTCCAACTGCTCATTTCAACCAAAATTGACTTTTGGTTGAAATAATACTACTAAGATAATATAATATTACTAAGATAATATGATATCATTACAACGGAAAATATTGAGCAAAATTTTTTTTTGAATACTTTGGAGTATATTTAATGAATATATTTTTGCATTTTTCAGCATTAACTTTTAAACATGTATAAATATAATTAATAATGTAATATTTATTAAATGGAACAATAGCAAACATACAATATAGTGTATTACATTACCTGGAAGCCTGTTTTTCTGTGATGAACAACCATTCTTTTATTTGATGTTTTCATCGCTTTATAGATGTATACCTGTAATAGTTTTGATTTTTTAGCTTGTATGCATTTTATAAATTTTTAAAAATAATATAAATTGATAAATCATAATTAAAATGCTATAAATCATTGTATTACTGTTATAGTTTAGCATCAATTTTGAAAAATAATGAGAATAATATCATAACTTAGAACTACTCTTTCTAGCATACTTACGCGTCCACAAAATTCCCCATCTCTAGGAGCTCCAACAGCAACATAATTTTCATGATTATCATAAAATTTCCCAGAAGTCACAGAATAACCTTAATTTAAAATGAAATAAAATAGTCTAAATTTAACATTTTGCATAATAAATTTGCATACATTTACATATTACATATAATTAAAGCCAAAATTCACAATTTATGATGAAAGATTTAATTATAGAAAAGTTTGATCATTAGCCTATTTTCTAATTGTTGAATGATATTATTTGGTGTGCAGTTTTTAGTAATTTCTTAAGAAGGGAAAACCATGGGTAAATTTTTGATTCATTATATTTTAAATAGTTTGACAATATTGTACATTGTGAAAAAACGAACAACTTAATAACTTTTGATCTTGCACTCTTAAACTCCTTTATGATTGGTAAATTTTCAAGAAAATGGTAATAAAAGTGCCTATTTTTTAGCTTTTGTATTTGTATTACACATTTAATTAGTGCTGACATCCAGTTTAAAATAAACTATCTACAATTACCTTAAAAATATTCTGGTACTGCCACCTGGTGAGTAAAATGAGAAATAAAATGTTTTCCGGGCAAAAGAAATGAATTAGTTTTATTCTTATTGGTGTGTTACTACTGAACAATCCAGCCCATCAATATCACAGGAGCGAGAAATAGAGGGTGAAACCTCACCCCGTCATTTTCACGGGAGCGAGAAGGAAGGGGCTAATGACTTGAGCATTCCATAGCAACTTTATTAAACTTATTAACTCACATCGATCAGAGGTATATATCCATTATGGTAGTTAGAGCATCTGGCTTTAAATTCAAATCTCTGGTTTTATCTTAAATTAAATTTAAAAATCAAAATATTTTTAATTCTTACTTATTATTTATATTTGTATTATGATTTTATTTTCAGAACTCATTAGTTTTTTTTCTATTTATTTAACTGACTACTTTAACAAACCAGAGTTAACCATAGGTGTGAACTTTTGTTTCATAAATGTTGAATCATTTTTTTAACAACATTTATTCTGACATTTTTTGAATAAAGCTGTTTTTTTTCAGCCTATAGTTCAATTTATATCAGAAAGTGAGGACACAAATTTATTTTCAAAAATTTCTTATACTTGGCTAAATTTATTTTGCGGATTATTAAAATTTTAAGGTTAGTCTAAAGATAATGAGAACAATAAGCTTCACTGCACTATTTTGCCATGTTCTGCAGTTTCATTTTACACAACAAACAAAATGACTGGAATTGGAACTCTTCTCATTCTTTCATGATTTTTTTTTTTGTTTTTGAACTTCACGAAAAAAATCCCTTCATATTAACAATGTATAAAACAAAATAAATAATAATTAAACCCTATACTTTGGAAACAATAACCATTTTGTAATTCTAAAATTCAATAAAAATTTCACCCTCACCAATATATGATTCAGGAGTCAAGTTCTGATCAACAGGAGGATCTGGAATTGAAGGCCGTACGTAGTTTTGATTCACACTATCAGGATTCAAAGCGTAACTTACCGCAGTACCTAAAGTATTTAATAAAAAGTAATATTAGATTACCTTCAATAAAAGCAAAATAAAGCACTATCCTTTATTATAAATTATATAGTTTTCATATGGAATTGAAGACTGTTTGTAATTTCCATTCATACCATTTGAATTCAAGGTGTAACTTGACAGTGACTGAAATTCTTCGAAAAAAATTATATATAAAATTAAAATAATAGCGTCCCAAAGCAATATAGCAATAATTATGTCCTTTATGTATGTACAGGTATTCCTTATATAAGCAATTAAATTATATAAAATAACATTAAACCAAAAATGAAATTAACCATTTCAAGGTAAGCACTTAATTTCATTACTCTTCAAAAGAAAGGAAAAAAAAGCCATATTTTTATTATTTTAATAAACCAAATTGATTTTAAGTTATTTTAGAACTTGACACTATAACAGTACGAAAAAAGTTTGGACTAAAATATATAGAAAAGAGCAAGGTAGTTTTTTAATCATATGATTTTTTTTAGTTTTTATTAAAAAATAATTAGAATTTCATAATATAAGTATGCATACCAGTCCAATCATAAAAACCAGGAGCTCCAAGATGTAAAAAGCTTCCATCCTGAAAAAGTTTTTTTTAAAAAACTGTAATAATAAAATAAAATAAGAATACTTATAAATTATCATGGACATTAAAAAAAGTTCTTCTGCATCTAACTAGTTAATTAATTAATCAGTGAAGAACTTGTTCTATATTAAATAATCTCATATAATGATCTCTCGATTCTGATTCAATAATTTTTATTTAAAAATAATTTTTATTCATGAATAATTTATAGATAAAAAAAATATGAGCTGAATTTTTTTATTATTGAAGTTTTTAGTCAGACTTTAAAACCATTACTATGTACAGAGTAATTATCAATTTAGTAGATTTTTTCTATTTGCAAGTAATAAAATCAGACAAAATTATACAAATAATTAGAGACAATTGTTTTAAAAAGTTAATAAACTAAAACGATTTTATTCCTTACAAATTTACTTATAATTGTGATAAATTTTTTTAAAAATGATTAACCATGCTGCCTCAATGACAGATTTTAAATCTGGATCCAATAAACTATCAGTCTCTATTTAGTAACTGCAATAAATTCTTTCTATAATTATTAATACATAAGAAATTTGTAACAATTTAAAGAATCAAGCATTATATTATTTTATTTCAACACAAATTTAGTTTTAGTGATTCTTTTTTCCATGAATGTACTACTAAATATAATCTTCATAGTGTAACGCAAAATAAACATGCCCTACTTAAATAAGCTAATCTAGCACACACCAAAGTTTCACATAGTTTATTATATTTTCCTAAAAAAGGTTTACTACAAATTTATAGGAGCCTACTAATTTTGATTACTGCTGTAGAATTGTTTTTGCAAAAATAGATGTACCTCACATTTGATATATAAATAAAATGCAGTCAACTTTAAAAGTTAAAATTTCAACTTTACATCACCCCTCATAGAACTTTTCAGAGCAGGAGTAAAAGAAATATGTACATTTCTAAAATGATAAATTAATCAATTGGTGAATTTCTAAGTTTTTGACCAAACAGGGCAAGATTTCTTCCAGGTTCAATGAAAAATTGTTCGAATAATGTCAAATAAGTCAATTTCTGCTAAGTGCAAAAAGAAATCAACTTTGGTGTCTCAAACGATGTAGTTCTTTGGGTAATAAAGCAGAATTCTAGAAATGTGTCTTACAAAATGAAGAATGCTTTAAGCCTGAAACTTCATCCCAAAGCTACAAGGTTAAACGATCGTTAAAAGGCTTACGTCAACTGGTTACCAGTCAATATCTAAATATCAATTTGTTTGCAATGAAAACATTATTCTTAAAATAGCATATTTCATTATAGAATCTTTTTGAGGATTAAAAAAGCTGAATTTATCCAACTCAAATGGGTATTCATATTATTGGAGGGTTTTGTGAACAGACAATAAATATTTTTCAAAGAGAAATTCTTCCTGGAGAAGCATCATGGTTTGGGGAGTCTATAGTAAAAGAGGTAAATTTAATTTAGTCTTTACATCACATAAAATGAATAACAGAGAGTAAATTTTGCAAATAAAATAGTTCTGCAGGACAAACTCATTAAGTTTTTGAGGAGGTAATCTTCTATTGTATGCTGTCTAAGTAATGACCTTTAGTTCAAATTGAGATAAATAGCCAACTATTATTGTCATTTTCAATACAATATTATCCTAATAAAGATCTATAAACATATTAAAAAGGTATTACTGGCATCACTAGTACGTGAAAATTATTTAGTAAACCCTAATGCTCACAACTCTAACGTTTGTTACACAATCATTTAGCTGTAGATTATCTCTTAACTTAAATGCTTTAAAATAAGTAGATAAAATTTCATTTCAAAAATATTAATGAACGATTTTGTATGCTTTTTTAATCCCAGCTTAGTGCAGTGAGAATTTAATTTAAAATAGAATTTAAAAATTAAAAAAAATTTATGTACCTTAGTAATTTTTAATATTTTTTAAATATCATAGAAAGATGAAAAATAACAACAAATGTAAGTTATCTATGCATAACCTTATCTGCTTTCTTCAATAGTGCAGGTTTTTTAATTCAAAAGATTGCCTATGAATGTTTTTCACAAGCACTGAAAAAATATTAAGATTTATTTCTGAAACACAAAATCAAAACAGTTTATAATGCAACGATACCAATCTTTCAGATGACTTAAATATTTCCCTTTTAAAAAAATTGTGTAATAATAACATCAAAACCATTTGAAGTAAGGTCAATTTTTTTAAAATTTCGAAAAGAAATCTATAATAAATTGACTTTTTCCTCTTTTATAGCACTTTCATCGAGAAATTAACAATGCTAATAGATTATTAAACTGTTGTCATGCTGTAAAAATTGTTTTTTTATAACTGAGACTAATTTAAAAAAAATCAAATGAAAATCAAATTTAAAATGAAAATCAAATTGAAACACCTATGACTTTAAACTCGATGGGGAAAAGCACAGCATTCACTCCCTGAAGAAAGTTTAGATATGTGCCGTCATTTGTTAACATTAAAATCTTTATAGCCCTTGAAACATCTTGATGACTTAATGTTTTTAATTATTTCATGAGAATTAATTATTTTAGAAAATATACCGTACAATAGGAAAATTTTCTAAGATTACTTTTCTGGCAAATTTTGAGAAATAAAAGACATGTAATTTTACCTCAGAAAATGCTACGGATGTGCCTACTTGTCCAAAAGCATAATAATAAATTCCAGGTGGTATTATAGCTTGTTTAGCTACAAAGAAAAATAGTAAAATGTTAAAATCGAAAGATCTAATTGGAAGTCAGGTTAAATGACATTTAATAAATATAAGAAAACATGCTTCAGAATGATACAGAAAGTTGTAAAGATTTCAATATATGTTCCTAAACCTGTAACACTGAGTTGTTTTAAAAAGTCACTTAGCATGATCTTAAACTTAGTCCCTATATTATTTTATTTATTATCATAATTTTTCTAAATATAGACAGTTTATTAAAGTTATTTATAAATAATAAAAAATATGAATACAAATTTCTTATTCTCTTAATGTAATTAATTTCATATTCTTTAAGTCAGAAATAAATTATAATGAAAACAATGCCAGCTTCTCTTAAAATGTCAATTTCATATGGTAATATAGTGTTCGATAAATGAACTTTCAATTTTTCAAGAGCTTGTCAATAACTAAACAAATTTTTAAAAAAATTGCAGTGTAGAATAGTGAAAACGTTATTAACATCTGTGCTGTTAAAGAGCAGGATAATTTGTTCCCAATAATAGATTTTTATTTTCAAATTCGCTTATTAATGCTGTTTAAATATTTCTGTACAACAAAAAACATGCCAAAATGTGAAAATAAAAAAAAATTGTTTCAAACATTAAACAGTTTTAAAATTTTTCATAAAAAGTACGCACTGTTCTACTACACATTGCCTTTGAAATTTCTGTTATTTTATTATTTCCTGAAATATACATTAAAAATGTTTAACTAATAAAAGTAAAACTAACATTTTAATTATGATTTGAACATGTATTGAATTTTCTTCTAAAAAATTGTTTCAACACAATATTAAGCACAAAAAAAAAAAAAAAAACAATTGAATGCATTTATGTAGTTTTAAAAAATTAATCATATCTTTTTAATTGCTTATTTATATTTAGACAATAATTCAATAGCTTTGATTCATTTTAGGTAAAATGGAACTTAGTAATATGGAATATGCCACTTGTAGAAACAACAAATTTTTAAGTTCAACAGTAAATTAAAATTTGTGTCATAATGTAAAAAGCGACATTATTGGCTTACGCTATTCTGAAAAAGGCGCTAAAATATTACACTATTTACTGCTCATATATTGAACTACATTAATTGAAGTTCTTTTTTATAGCATAGTTCAGACTAAAAAACAGAATACAAAAAACTTTAATTACATATACAATTTGTTAATAATGGAAATAAAAGAAAAATATTCAGAAAATTCTATAATCACCACCCTTAATACCTTATATTCAATCATTCATACTTTTTACTTTATATTTGACAAGCATTTTAAACATACGTATTAAGAATGGTGGTTATGGAACATCCTATATAAAACAAACATACAGTGTGTAACAAAATAAAATTACAAGACCACTGTGGCTTTTGTGAATTTTAAATAAGTAATATAAATTTTCCAAAACTAAATTAAGAAAATGAAAATGAATGATAAAAAAAATACATGCATGAAAGGGTAGCAGACATGATGAGTGTTGTTGAGCCACGCAGATAGCAGTTGGAGGACAAAAAATATTTTATTAGTTTCACATAGTATATTCAAAACATTTTCTTATCCATTGATAAAAAAGATCAAATTTGCACTCCAAAACTGTGTACTTCAGTTTTTATCCACGGGAAAGTAGCAAATGAATTTCCCTCTATTTTGTTATATTTTAGGGAAAAAGGGAAATCTTAGTAATTACAATTGGTTTGTTAAATAGGTCATGTGATTCCCACAAAGGGTAAAGGGGAAAAATGTCCTTACTTTTAATTATGCATACTTGAGTCAAAAATAGATTTAAGAACAGGATGTGGCCTTTTAAAAATATGAGAAACTGCTTCGATTTAGAATAATTAATTAGGAAGAAGTTTTATAGAAAAGTACTAACATAAAAAGATTAATAGAAGCTTTTTATGTTACATGCATATAAATTTTTAAGAGATATATTTAAGTATGAATATTCTGTCAACAATATCAAAATTTTAAATCTGAAATGTTTGTTACAAAATTATAAGACCACCAGTTAAAATGAATTTTTTTTACAAAAATAAAGCAAATAAGTCAACAAAGCAGATATTTTCTTCTTTTATAATACCCAAATCCAAAAAATTTAAATTAATCAAGAAAGTAAAATTAATCATTATTATTACGAAGGAAGATTAATTCCTCGGCTTAAATATCATTTAATAAAATTGCATAATCTAGAAAATTAAAGATAATTAAATTATCAATCAATTTAAAAAACAAATTTAATATTAAGAGTATAATTTTTTTCATATTAGTGCAAAACTAAGTTAGCTAAGACAGATGAAAAATTAGATCCTTGTGGTATTCCATCAATTTGAATAAAAATATCCCTTCCATTGTAATTATAATTATTAAAAAGACAAAAATTAATTAGAATTTTCCAATAATTGAAATCGCAATTAAGGATATTCTTAAAATCATAGTAATAATTCAAAGGGACATCTTTTAGTTTAGAACAGGGAATGATACTGAAAAGATCCTGGAAATCAAAAGTCGCAATAGAATTAATTTTATTATGTTTAATAAATTCTGAAATCAACAATGAATGTCTTCATTAAATCTAACAAATTCTAGGTCGCCCAGTTTAGCTCAAATCTGATCTTACGTCACCTTCCCTCATATAAACATATTCCACGCAACGCTCTAGAGATTTCTTCAAAAAGCATACTTTTCTGTAATTTTGGCTCATCGATTGCCTTAATTCAAGAGGACGCCATATCGCGAAAGAAACTTTTTGTCGCTAATTCTCTTTTTCCTTCATCACTGATTAAAAATTTAAAGTGTAGAAAAAGTGAGTTCAGATAAACCTATAGTAATCATGAAGTTTCAAATACTGAAAAGAATATTTTAAAATGTGCAAATGTAAACAAATTATGAGATGATAATGATGCACCATTTTTCTGGATAACTTCAAGGTACTCAATTTTTCATCGACTTAATCAAGTTATAAAGCTAAGTTGTAGGAATTTAGTGTCAATCATCCATAGCTTCTTTTAGGTCGTATACTGAATTATATTAATGATTATTTGCATACACTAGTCTAGCTTGATAAAATATAACTTATTTCAACTGCTTTACTATTTTAAAATTATTGATTTTATGCAATGCACCATAAAAATGAATGATATTTGGGGTGGTCTTATAATTTTGTAACACACTGTAAATTACTTTACAAAATAACATAATTACCTTTTTCCACAAAAGGCACTAATTTTGTCACACTCCTTGAATCAAGGTCACTATTGATAACATAACAAGCTCCATTAGCCAAATAATGTTGTCGGTAAAACTGATTTTTCCATAAATGTCCACAAGTCTTAAAAAAATAATTAATATTTGAATTAAATAGCTAAATCATTATATTTAGTTAAAAAAATATCATGAACATTGAATTTATAAAATAATAATAATGATGATAATAAATAATAATGAAAATGATCAAAGTATTATTCTATAAAAGAATGACTAAGCTGGAACTACAAGATAAATATTGTGGATAGAAATTATTAGATGGATAGTAGATAGGATAGTATTTATTTTTGTTAGTTTACATCATTCTTTCAACAGTTGTTGTTTTAATAAATTCAAACAAAATCAATCCAAAATTCATTAAAGATAATCACATACTTACTACTATATCACTTCGGGTCGGACTGTGCAAAATATCCAAACTTACTCCTAGCCACATGGAATCTTTTTTGTCATAATAGGCAACATTATTTCCATTATCAGTCTGAGTATTACCTAGAAATAAAACAAAAATAAAAGAAATAATTAATCAACTGATTTATAAGGTTTATGAACATTTAATGAAATAAATGAAAATATAAATCAACTCATATTACAAAAATCTGAATTTAAACAGAATTTTTTACTTTAATATATTTTCCAGTAACTAAATACAGAATATTCTATAACCACAACTTTTATGAATAATCCTTGTCACAAATGAAGAAAAAAAATATTCATATTAGGGGATCAAATTAATATTTAAGCTAGAAAACACCAACATCAAAAATTGACAAATTACTATTGAAGAAGGTGGGACTCAATAGTGATTCATCAGACTTCGAAACGGTTTTTTAAGCTTACATATTAATTTGTGACCCATAATTTCTGACTTCACTTTTAAAAGCGATTTTAAAAATATATATTAAGGGCGTTGGTACCATTGCCAGCTTCAGTCTACATTTTCGTGCTAGTCTATGGGAGAAGTTTTTTTCCCTTTTTCTCAATAACATGCAGCCCAATAGCTTTATGTTTTATATTATTGAATAGATCTCATTCAAACTAAGCATTCTAACGTTGTAAATTATTTTAAAATGCTATAAATAATTTTTAAAACATCCTTTAATGGGTTTTTAGAGCAATTTTTACAATGTGTTTTGTGATATTGTTTTTTAAGTTGAATTCACATACTTTTTAAAAAAACATACATAATACGTAATTGATTTCTATTGTCAACAATATGGAAATATGTAAAAGGAAGAGGACAGAATATGGAAATATGGAGATACATACCATGTGATATCTCCATGAAAGGAGATAAGAAAATCTATGCTAAGGAGAACGTTTTGTTTATGTATATATTGCATAAATATACAATGTTAACAAGCTTGGTGCATTACTTTCATACATATTAAAATCTTTACTGTCATACAAGTAGGGAAAAACAGATTGAATTCGGTACTTTTTAAAAAGTAACACATTTCATACTTTTCTACTAGTTCAGGAGAAAAAGTACAAAGACTAAATGCAATCATTTTTACAGCTCTAAAATTTTTTTTTTTGTTTTTTTGCCAGCTTACAATTTCTCGGAATTAAATATCAAAACTTTTACAACTCATAATTTTTCCAATAACGGTTTTAGAACAATTTTAATTATCCTTTATCGAATATTTCGATTCCTTGCAAATCTCTTTGAACGTAGATTATAACGTTCTAGACATAATATAAAATAATTATTGCCATTCAAGTACCGTCAAAGACTATATCTAGAAAACGTACTTCAGAAAATTTATTTATTTAAATAAGTAGACATTAAAAGATAAATATTTTAGAAGGAAACTTTTTCGATGTTTCTTCTAGTTGTAATTTTAAAGTGTCGTAATAAAAAGAAAAATACTTTTTCCTTTGCAAATAAGAATTCTACAGCAGAACAACAAAAGAACATTTAGCATTCTACATTCTAACATGGACAGAAAACGAAATTTAGCCGTCAGGCATAGCTTTGGTAAAATTACTCCTTTTCCCTTGGTTGGAAACTGGTTTGTTTTTCTGTGGGTAAGGAGAACTGTCTTTTTCACCCATAATACCTGTAATTTTTCTCAGAAATTATCCCAAATGATAGAATGAGCTGAAACTTACTCTCCAGAGTCCAACAATGAATTTTTATAAATTCCAAGGGGATTTAGTTCAAAAGTACAATTTACAAAGATTTTGTAACAGCAAATATTCTTAATTATATACCAAATCAATCTATAGCATTTTTAGTAAATGTTCGTTTTTGCGAACGAAAAGCACAAAAACTAAAGTCAGATGCTCTAAGCATTTTTAATGTAATTTACAAATAAAATTGTATTTTTGAATATGAACACTTGATTAGACTTCGAAGGCAAACGAGGAGTTAGGCTTGAAAATTGGTAACCGTCCCAATCTGCCTCAAATTGCCGTCGGCTAATGCTTGTAACAGCTGGGGAATGGACCATTACGGCTTTGGTCGTCGTAATATAATCCTTACCTATAGTCCAATATTCCATTTACCTATATTGGATTAATACCATTAAAAGTATATTTTATAAGTAGCGCATAATATGTTATGTAAATCGTTTAGAAGAAAAGTACTTTTTAGCTGCAAAAAAGAACAAAAAAAAACAAGAAATTTTAACATGTACACACACTTGCAGCGTCGATCCGTTCAGTGGGACAAGGGTCAAATTTCTCGGCATTCCTGCACACATCTCTGAAAAGTGCGCATAAAGCAAACGTATTCCTGTACACAGCTCTGGAAAGTGAGCATAAAGCAAACGAGTTACCCAATTTTTATTAATAGAATGTTTATTTGAAAATTTACCAAAGCAGAAATATTTCGAACCCTTTTCAAATACCAGCAATTCTGCTTACGTACTTCAGTATGAAGATTGTATTCCCTGGGACGCTTAAAATGCATCCAGTAGTGGATTGCAGTAGTGAATCCAGTAGTGAATGCATCCAGTAGTGAATGCATCCAGTAGTGGAATCCAGTAGTGAATGCATCCAGTAGTGGACTAGTGGATTGCATCACTAGTGGAAAATTGCGTTGCAGCTGCAACGCAATTTTTTAAATTTTTTTTACGATGTTTCTCTCGGATGTGTAATAAAAAGTTACCAGGTATATCGTGGGACGCTTAAAAAAGTCACAATGCATTCCCAGGGACGTCTAAAAAGTTGAGAAGCATCGCTTGGGATGCGTAAAATGCATCTCCTGGGACGCATAAGCAAAATTTGCGTCCACTGGGAGGTGTCATCAAATGGCAAAAAAAAAAAAAATTAACCTAACTATAAAAAGTAAAAAAGGAACCTTTCTAATTTTACATTTCTTAAAGCAGAATGAGAAAAATGAAAATAATTCATTGGCATTAAATAGCATAGATGCTTTTCCCTAATGCAGGTGATTTATCAGTTCTAACGCAATAGTCAAAATTACTCTTTTTTGATTTGAAATTATTTGTCTTGTCTTTCAATAGATAGAATTCCCAAGAAATATAAATACGCAGATTTATAGATGGATGAAGAAGTAGAGAATTTTTCGCTTGCAAATTGTTATCGTTTTTTCCCAATACGTGTTTTAACTCTTAAAACATCGTGCTAATTTATTATATTTCACTTAGAATTTTGTAATTTTCAAAGTTTTTGAGTGTATAAAACTTCAGCTTTTTTATTTCACAGGTACTTAGTTGAATTCTTGAAAATTTTATTTTTAATGTTCATATATTTTAAAAAGCTGGAAGTGATTAAAATTGAGAATATTTTACACTTTTATTTCGTTATTTTTTACAGTCAGTTCCAGAATTTTTTTTTAAAATTGATTTTAATCTATTTCCCATCGAATATTTGTTTTTGGTTGCAAATTGTATAGACCAAATAGTATTTCTCTATTTTACTTTTTTCTCTTTTTTTCTTTTTTGTTTTTCTTTCTTATAGTGTCGTAAAACAATTAGAGGTTTCTGCTGTTGGGGGGAAAACAGATGACTAGAAACAGAACATGTGAGGACAAGTTTAAACCATTTGTGATAAATACAGATAAAAGAACTATCATTGAAAAAATAAAGTCAAATAAGTTCAGCCAATAAGAGAAAATAAAACAAACCCCCCATGATCAAAAGTTTACTCAAAATTTAGAGATGTACCGGGTTCAAAAATTTTGCCGGGTTCGGGTACCTGGTGAAAATTGAATTTTTTACACAGCCGATTACGGGTACTCGGTAAAATTTTGATTTATTACTCAACCATGTATTGTATCATTTATGCAAAACAATATATAAATCTCATAATTTTCCATCGAACAAATATTTTACAAGATATAATTCAAAGGATTTTAATTAATTTATTTATTTTTTTTTAAATTAGGGACGAGAGTTGGGATATTCAGAATATATTAAAGTAAAATTTTCTATGAAGTGGACATACCCGTGGACTTCCAAAAACCCACTCTTGGTTTTCTCAAAATTTACTATTTCAAGAGATTTTACTAATAATTACAAATTATAGTCATTTACACAAAAATTTTCGAACAATTGAAAATAAACCAACTTTATAAGTTATTATCATATAATGTATTATCATATAGTTATTATCATATAAGTTATTATCATATAACTTGTAATTATCATATAATGTAGCTAAATAAACTTAATATACTGGCAAAGATTGAAATCCGGCATTCTATGAATGCCAAGGCATTGTATATAATGCCTAAAACTAGCCGGCAATGTATGAAACGATTTATATTTCGCACATTTCCTAGGCATTCCATAGAATGCCAAATGAGAAACCGGCAAAGTATAAAGTACATCTCCGATTCGTTTCGTAATGTAATGAAATGTAATTCAAAATGTCATTCAAGCCTGCCATGTTGCAACAAGTAGGTTAATTTCTTGTTTTTTATATGGAAATTTTTTCCCCCTTAATAAGAAAAGCATGAATTATGTTTTGTACAACGTTCTTTACGCATTTTGAATAATTTGTTTCTAATGGCACTCTCATTATTTTTTCAGAATAATATTTTTATTTTTGGGAAATACGCATCATTTACATAATAACCTTATCAGGACGTTTTTTTCATACTTGGCCTAAATAGCATTTGTCATTCTATAGAATGCCCAGGTATTGCATACAATGCCCAGGGAAAGTATGCAATACTTCTCGTGCTTCATACCTTACCTAAAAACATCCGGCATTATATACAATGCCTAGGCATTTTATAGAATGACGGCGTTTCATACTTTGCCGGTAACATACGAGGGTTGCTATTTATATTTCTGGCATTGGCAACAGTAAGTGTTGTTAGGCGACCGCAGACGATTTTAATCGAAAGTTTGATATTTTTGAACATAAATTCAGCAGACGATTTACCATTATAGCTTCATTTGTGTTGTTGACAGTAAATGGAAAAGTTCTTCTCTTTCAAAAAATGGAATTGAATCGTGAACAATTTCGTGTCATTATTCTTCATAACTTTCGACGTGGATTGTCAAGACAAGTGT